CCCGGCCAGCGCGCTATGGCCGGCGCTCCGTGCTGTTCTTATGCAGGAAGCCAGGTATTTTTCCTTGTTTTCTTCGTGGGTGCAGGGCCCAAGTACTTGGGCCATTCTCCACTGCACTCCCGGGCCACAGCAGAGAGCTGGCCTGGAAAAGGGGCAACCGGGACAGAATCCACCGCCCCGACCGGGACTAGAACCCGGTGTGTTGGCACTGCAAGGCAGAGGATTAGCCTAGTGAGCCACGGCGCCGGCCATGACCTTTCTTTCTGTCTCTCTCTCTCACTTCCACTCTGCCTGTCTGTAAAAAAAAAAAAAAAAAAAGAAAGAAAGAAAGAAAGAAAGAAAGAAAGAAAGAAAGAAAGAAAGAAAGAAAGAAAGGAAAGAAAGGAAGGAAGGAAGGAAGGAAGGAAGGAAGGAAGGAAGGAAGGAAGGAAGGAAGGAAGGAAGAAAGAAAGAAAGAAAGAAAGAAAGAAAGAAAGAAAGAAAGAAAGAAAGAAAGAAAGAAAGAAAGAAAGAAAGAAAGAAAGAAAGAAACTAACTTAATGGCCGGGACCTGCATGGTGACACAGTGGGTTAAACACCATTTGCAGTACTGTCATCTCGTATCAGAGCACAGATGCGAGAGATGAACTTCCTATGAACTTTTTGAAGTCCCCTTGTAGGGCGTAAGCATCCTCTCTTCTTTAAAAGATTTATTTATTTTGAAAGAATTTCAGAGAGAGAGATATCTTCCATCCACTGGTTCACTCTCCCAAATGGCCCCAATAACTTCTTCTGGGTCTCCCACGTGGGTGCAGGGGCCCAAGCACTTGGGCCATCTTTAGCTGCTTTCCCAGGCCATCAGCAGAGAGCTGGATTGGAAGTGGAGCAGCTGGGACTCGAACCAACACCCATAAGGGATGCCGGCACTGCAGGCGGCGGCATCACTCCTTAGCCACCTCCCAGCCCCAGGTGCAAGTATCTTCAACTTTGTTAGAAGTGACCACCTTGTGCTGTAAGGGGCGTGTCACCCACTAAAGACACCCAACCACAGAGCTCTTAAAGAAGGGCTCTGGGGGCTGGCATCGTGGCGCAGCGGGTTCAGCCGCCGGCTGCAACACCAGCATCTTATATGGGAGGAAACAGCTCAAGCCCTGGCTGCTCCATTTCTAATCCAGCTTCCTATCGATGAGCCTGGAAAGGCAGTGGAGGATGGAACAGGTACTTGGATCCCTGTCACCCCCACGGGTCACCTGGATGACGCTCCTGGCTCCTGCTTCCAGGCTGGCCCAGCCCTGGCCCTTGTTGCCATTCAGGGAGTGAACCTGAAGATGGAAGATACCTCTCTCTCTCTCTCTCTCTCTCTCTCTCTCTCTCTCTCTCTCTTTCTCTCTCTCTTCTCTGTCACTCTGCCTCACAAATAAAAATAAATAAATCTCTACTTAACCAAAGAAGGGCTTCATACATTGGCAAGATGTAGAGTAACTCTTGGGGACAGCTTTAGCTCGGGTGACGGGGAAGAGGAGGAGCAAGGCCCAGGAAAGCCCGTGGTCCCTGGGATTCCTGCAGCAGAGGGTGCAGGAGGCAGAGGACAGAGCTGGGGAGCGAGACAGGGCCACAGAAGAGAGCCGGGGAGGAAGGGCTCTGTCCTGGCATGGCCCCAGCAGGCTGGACTGACAACTCCCGAAGGGGGACGGGACCCCGCACTCAGCCGAGCCTGCCCTACCTCTCGATGGCGCTCCAGCGTGGAGACGAAGGTTCGCTGGTAGTAGAGCAGCTGCAGGCGCTCATGGGCGTAGTTGTGGCAGAGCTCCTCGAAGGTGGCCGCCCGCTCCTTGCCCTCATGCCGGGGGCTCTGGAAGCCCGGAGAGTCCACCACCATGATGGAGCCCATGGAGAGGTGGTGGGAGGAGAAGGACCTGGGGCAGGGACGGGGAATCTGAGAGTCCATGGGGCCGAGCCGTCCCCACCCCGGCTGCAGTGATGGAGAACCAAGGCCGTGCACGCGTGGGTTTGAGGATCCTGCAGCTCTGGCTTCGGAGCCAAGCTCACCACGTGCACAGGCTGTGTGGCCTTGGGCGAGTTGTTGAACTCTCTAAGCATGGGCTTCCCTGAGCTGCAATGTGGCAATGGGGGTAACAAAGGGATCCCAGACCCACAAGGACTGAAGAAGGAGACGCGTGCAAAGCATCTCCCAGGACACAGACACACGCGGAGCCTCCTTCCAGGAGGTGAGACTTCTCCATCGAGCCCAGCGACCCAGCAAGTTGGCTACAAATGAAGACCGGAGCCGCATTTGCTTTTCCCAGGGACACGTTGGATGAGAAAGACGATTTTGTTTAGTGCATCGGTTTACAAAGTTCCTGCAAGTCATCGCTTCCTTGGGCCCTCTTGGGGCATCGGCCAGAGTGGACAGAGTGAGGATTCCTCACCTCAAAACGCAGTAGCCAAGAGACTTTGGAGCCAGCTGTACCTGGGCTGGCACCCTCACCTGCAATGGAGGGGCTGTGTATCTCGGGAGAGGGGCCCAGCCTCTCTGAGCTCCAGCCACCTCAGCTGGGAAAGGGTTCATGGTGGAGCCCGGCCCCTGGCCGGAGGGCTGGATGTGGCAGGCACCACTCACCAGCAGGCACAGTCGGTAAATGCTCTTTGCTCTGTCAGTGGCATGACCAGCTGTCACCTCCAGAGGGCGCTCTTCCTGAGAGCCACCACTGCCCTTGACCCGCCCTTGGTTCCATCTCCACCATGGGGTCAATGCCCAGCCCTGCAGGTGGATTCAGTCAGCTCGTGCCTGGGAAAGCAGCTGCCTGTTCCAGGCCCATACATGGCAGTGGCGGGCCCTGTTATCACCAGTAAACCCATTTTACAGGTGCAGGCGCTGCGATCCCACACCGCAAAGCAGCCTCCCATGCTGGCTCATCTCTCGCTCCCCAGCCTCGCTCCCCTAAGCGCATGTGATCCGCTTGCTTTCCAGACAACCAGCCTGGGCTCTGCTGTGGCAATGCCTCCAGCAGCAGCCACGGAGGAAGGTGGTTCCGCGTGCATGGCGCCTGGGAGAACCCTGCCTGCTCGGCCCTGGGCGCCAGCCCCATCTCTTTCATGGGATTTCTTGGGCCTGGTTTTGCTTTCTGCACTCCTCCAGTGAGGCCCACGTGCCATGTAGGGACCCTGCCGGAGCTTCTCCGAGCACACGCTCAGAGCATCGCTCAGGATGATGGAAGAGAGGGGTTCCTGGTGCCCACGGATGCACTTGGGAGAGACACATCCTGGCCCAGTTGGAAATTCAGCTTGGTCCCTCTCCATGTCCAGCAGGAATTTTTAGAAAAACAAACAGCGAGAGCAACATGCTCGTGGTGTGTACATCCCGGCTCCCCACTCTGGGCCTTGGTCTCCACCTCTGTGCAATGGGCTGACCTGAGTAGCAAGTGGGCGCGAGGGAAGTTGAACAATTAGTGCAGCCCCTGGCCCTGAGTCCTTGTTGGAAAGTCGTTAGTGTTTATTAGGGGGTAGTTCTACAAGCACTGTGGGGAAGAGCTGTGTACATTCCTTATTCCCCCAACCCTTGAGTCGACCCTGGGTGGGAGCGGTGTGGGGAGCTGTCTCTCACACAGAATAGGGAGTCATAGGGGTGCACGGATCTGCCCCAGTCACAGCCAGTAGGTGGCCAAGGTGGTGCTGAACTTGGAAATCCTCTCGCCCTGCCCAGGTGCCCCCTGCCAGAGCTCCTCTGGGCCCTTGCCCCTGCCACAGCTGGACATTTGGGCCTGGACAGAGTCCACCATTACCTGTTGATGAGCGACACCACGGCGGCAAAGAGCTCTTGGTACAGACCCGAGGCCATGCCCTCTACACACTCCACACCTGTCATCTTGAGTCCTGGAGTCCAGAGAGAGAGAGATGGTGACCACCTCACTCACCATCGCGCATTCATGGCTACAGAGCTGCAGGGGCTGCTGCGCTTAGAAACCACCCCCATCGCCCTCTGTGGCTGCCTTTATACACCACCTTCTGAGGACAAAGTCCACATCACCTGGCCCTCCCTGCATTTCAGATAGCACTCCTGCTCAACCCTCAGGGCTCAGCCCAAATGCCACCTCCTCAGGGAAGCCGTCCTTGACTGCCAACAGCACCCATGAGTCCCACCTCCCCTCCACCCTGATTCTGTAGCACCCATCACAGCGTGATCTGTACTTGTATACTGATTCCATGAATCCCAGCCTCCCCCACGAGGCTGGAGTGCCCTGAGGACAGGGAGTGTCTTAAGGTCCTGGTCTTTTGGCCTCCAGGCCTGATGCATGGTAGACACTCAGTAAATGTTGGTTGTTCCCTTAGGAACTGGCCAGTTTCACAGCAGAAGTCATAAAATATTCGTTCACTGGAACTTAATAATTTCACTCCCGGGCTTTTAGTCTAATGAAATATTCAAAGAAACAAAGAGGTCTGGGTACACAGGTTCTTCCAATTGTTGATTAAATTGGCAAAAATCGCTTTTTGGAGACAGCTTGAATGCCCCACAATAGCAAATGGGTTAGATAATTTGTAGTCTGTTTGTACAAAAGAATGTGTGAAGTCAGGTGCAGGGAAATATTGAGTGAGGCGGGGAGAGCGCCCAGCTCTGAAGTGAGCAGGAATGAAAAAGCTTACAAAAACCACAGCAACACTCGTGGTCTCGGGTTTGTTTAAACACACACGTGCACGTGCGCACACACACGCATGCAGGGGGTCCCTTTAAAATAGCTGGCCTGCCCAGCAGAGTACCAAACAGGGCACAGTGAGGCACAGCGGGAGCTCAGATCACAGATCCTCACCCTGGACTTTGGATTCCAGACACAGCACTAGAAACACAATCTCCAAATCTGCACTCACACTCACGGGTGCCTGGAGAAAGAGTTCGGCTCCCACATTCCAGGCAGCACCCCCCAAAGCATTTCCCAGCCCTCCTTTGGCTCCACCCCCCGCCCAGGCTGTTGCTAGGCAACCCACATCCTCCAAGCATCTCTCCTAAGCCTGCTGGTCCCCTGTCTGCTTAATGCCTACCCTGGAGACCTCAGCGTGAGAGGTTGACTCAGACTCACAAAGTGGAGTGTGTGAGTGTGTGAGTGCATGTGTGTCCATGGGCTTGTGCGTGTCTAGGGTGTACATCTGTGTGTGTGTGTGTGATTGGTGTGTGGACATGTGTTGTGTGCATAAGCATGTATAGGGTGTGTAGCTGTGCCCACAGGTGTTATCTACACATGGATGTGATTGTGTGGTGTGGACGTGTGCATGCTTGTGCACGTGTGGAATGGCTCTCTGCACAAGGGTTCTATGTGCATAGATGTGTGATTGTATATGTGTGGTGTGCATACATGTGCACACATGCATGATTCTGTGACATGTGGGGTATACACAGGAGCATGTGTGTGCTGTTTATCTGTACACATGCATGTGCACATGTTGGGCTGCGTGTCCTCTGTGCACATGTACAGCATGTGTGTGCATCTGTGTAGCGTGTGCACGTGTCTGTGCGTGTGTGTCTGAGTGACAGACAGGAGAGGTAACTTTTGAACTGACTGCAGCACACAACACAGCACAGACCTGGAAGCAAACATAAAAGGCCAGTGGCATCCAAGTGACATCAGCTGTCAAGCCACAGCCCCTGGAAGGTGGAGGCAGCTGCCAGGAGCCAAGGGAGCTCAGAGAGAGGGGCTTCAAAAGCCTCGGCTCCAAACAGTGCTGCTCATCAACCCCAAACTCTGCCATGGCAAAGACAGCTTCTCAGAGAGGCTCCGCGATGCCCGGGGCTCCAGGAGACGCCTCGGCCCCCATTCCTGCAGTCCAGGCATTTGGTCCGCAGAAGCTGTGGACCTGGAATTCCCAACCCCCGCCGCGGCAGGTGCAGGACAAGACCCTCCTGCTCCTCCTCGGGTCAGCTCGAAGCACTCCTCTGTCCCACTACTCGGCCTCAAAGCCCAGAAGCCATCCCCAGGCCCTCTCTCCCTGGACAGCCCGTGCTGTCACCTGTTAGTGTCCCCCTCGTCCCATGTCTATCGTCACTTCCCTGATCCAGCCACCTGCCCCTTCACCTGTGAGAGTCACAGCTCCCAGTGGGCCTCCCTTCTCCCACTCATCCCCAACCTCTGTCCGGGCTGAGCTTCATAAAGGATAACACAAGTCACTTCCTCCCCACCCCCACCCCTTCCACTCACTTCACAGCTTCCCACTGGTCTAACGATAAAAGCCCTGCATTTATGCAACTCACAGGAGCCAAGCCCCACCCTGTTCTCCAACCTCACCTCCAACCATTCCCACCCCCGACTTCAGCCATTCCAGCCTTATTTCTCTCTCTCCAACAGAGAGGTAAGCCTTCCCCATACACAGCAGGGGCTCAACTCACCTGACACCAAATGGGAACACATGCGTCCCTTGGCACTGCCCACGGTGCACCATCTCCCCAACACAGGGCCCCCTCCCAGATGCCAGCAGCCTCCACGGCCACTGGACAGAGCTAATTAGTTGACCACATGCAGCATGCATGTCAAGTCCACCCACGGCAGCTTCCCCTGCACCTAGCCCCGGCCAGTACACAGTAGGGCCTCCATAGGTTCCCCATAAATAAGCAAGAGTGCTGGTGCCCCCCAGCTGGCTGGCCAGGCAGGACGCCGGCCTGCTGGGAGCTTGGGCATCGCGGTACCTGAGCTGGTCTCCTCGTCCTCGAGGCCCCGGCGGCTCGGCCTGGACGTCACCTGCTCGATGATCTGACGCAGGTGGTGCTTGAAGGTGGCCGTGTTCAGCTCCTCGTACTCGCAGCCCAGGGCCTCAGCTGCGTGATTGGCCCACTCAAACCGCATGAACTGCTTCCGGCCCACTGTGCCAGGGACAGAGGCGAGGTGTGGTGGTGAGGTCCCCGGGCCCGGGGTGAGAAACCTCGCCCCCCTCCCAGCTCTCCAGGCCACCATTCTCAGCAGGGGAGCCTGAGGAGCTGCCCGGGCCTCGCCTTTGGGGATGGCCCGTGGGTCGGAGTCAGCTTTTCCAAGGGTTACGTTCACCCTACTCTCCCCCCCCCCGTCCCCTTTAAGAGGCTCATTGTTCACTTTTTCAAAACAACTAAAAATAGCAAGGAGGATGGAATTGGGAGGACGCCTTGCAAAGCACAATTGATTTATCCTCCTGGGTCTCCCTCTATGCAGCCGGCCACCCAGCCACTCATCCATGCAACTGCTCACCAGGCCTCCCACACAGGCAACCACCCACCCGCTCATCCATCTGCTCAGCGTCCATTTACTAAGTCCCATCCAGTGCATGTGAGATGTGGGGCTCGCCCCTGGGAGAGGGACAATCAACAAGACAGACAGGTACCCGTCCCTCGGGCTTTTACGGTCCATTGAAGGAGTGAGGCTGTCAACAAGGTCAATGCACAGCGAAAGAAGCTAATTCCAGACAATACAGGTAGAAAGCCCCCCTTCCAGGAGAAACTAAAAGAGGGTGGTGAGATACAGAGAAACCGAGGGGGTCGGTGTGTGTCTATGGTGGTCGAGAGAGGGGCGTGTCTATGTGAGGCCATGATATTCGAGCCCAACTGCGGAAGGCAAGAAGGAGGTGACCTCATAAAGAACCACAGAAGTGCTTCAGAGGTAGGAGGAGGGGGCAGTGCAAAGGCCCTGAGGCACAAATGAGCACCACGTGCTAGGTGCCCAGGTTAGTGTGTCTGGTATCTAACACAGGAAGGGAGTGGCCAGATGATGGATGTATATGACTCAACATAGAGTCACTTCAGGGGCGATTCTAAGACTACTTAAAATTAGCAACAGAGACGCTGTACAACTCGGAAAAAGCTTAAAATTGGATGTTCAGTGAAAAACAGACAAGAAAATTGTATCAAAGTATGATGTCAGCTGAGTAAATCACTTTAAAGCGTTGTTGGGGAGCATTGTGCCGTAGCGGGTAAAGCCAACCCCTGCCAAGCCAGCATCCCATATGGGCGCCAATTCATGTCCCAGCTGCTCCACTTCTGATCCAGCTCCCTTCTGATGGCCTGGTTAAAGCAGCAGAGCACGGCCCAAGTGCTTCGGCCCCTGCTACCCACATGGGAGATCTGGAAGAAGCTCCTGGATCCTGGCTTTGGTCTGGCCCAGCTCTCCAGCCATTGGGGCCACCTGGGGAGTGACCAGCAGGTGGAAGACCTCTCTGTCTGTCTGCAACTCTCCCTCTCAAATAAATCAGTAAACATTTTTTAAAAAGTGTTGTTAAAATAATAAAAATGGAAAGTTAGCCAAATATTAACAAGCACAGATGGTCAAGGAGGTTTTCTCGGCAAGTCTTCTACCACGGTTCTGTGCTAATTTTGTAATCCAACAGAATCCAGTGATTTATTAAAAGAAATCACAGCGCTCTGCCTAGGACATTTTCTAACATCTTTTATCTTCCCATAAATGTGTTTCCTTCTTTGCAATAAGAATCACAGCAGGGGCTTGCGCTCAAGCTTAGCGGGTAAAGCCACCGCCTGCAGTGCCGGCATCCCATATGGACGCCGGTTCGAGACTCCACTGCTCCACTTCCAATCCAGCTCTCTGCTATGAAAGAGAAAGCAGTAGAAGATGGCCCAAGTCCTTGGGACCCTGCACCCATGTGGGAGACTCGGAATAAGCTCCTGGCTCCTGGCTTCGGATCAGCTCAGCTCTGGCCGTTGTGGCCACCTAGGGAGAGAACCAGCAGATGGAAGACCTCTCTCTCTCTCTTTCTTTCTGCCTCTTCTCTCTGTGTAACTCTGCCTTTCAAATAAATTAATTAATTAAAAAAAAAAAAAGCAGCACAGTAGTCAACAGATTTTTCGGTTCCTCCCCAGAGAGTTGTAAGAGCCCAGCCCTTCAGGCAGACATCTTGAGGAAGCACCCTGTCTTGTGAAGAAATTTGAACTCTGGACAAGGATTTTATCTGGGGTTTCAATGCTACCCGAGCAGGTGGTGCTCTGGCCCTAGTTACTGAGGGCAACACAAACAGCCGCTGCGGAAGGATGTTGGGCCGCGTGATCGTTCCATGAGCACCGTTTCAGCATCCTCCCTGTACTGGTCATTCCCATTTCACAGATGATAACACTGAGGCTCGGGTGCCCTGGATGATGTGGAAAAGGTCCTTCTACTCAAAAATGATGAAGAAGACGGTGGCGCTGATGGTCAGATGAGGATAACAATGGTGAGGAGGAGAAGGAGATTATGGTAATGGTGATGATGGTAACGGTGACGGTGATGATGATGGTGAATAAGGATACTGATGGTAATGACATTGGTGGTGGTGACTGTGATGGTGAGGAGGATGTGGAGGAGGGGGACGGTGGTGGTGGTGATGATGATGATGGTAACGGTGCTGATAATGGGATGATGACAGCCATGGTGGCGGTGTGGTAGTGACCAGACAAGCACTAGGCTGAGGAAGATAATGGTTGTTGCGGTACTTTGTCCACCTCTTTTTATTCCAATGCCATCTTTATTCAGCTCACGGCTTTTGGAATTGAAGCCTTTGTAAGGTCCCAGGTATATGCTAATACTAACCGATAGAATAAATAAAGGGGAGAGTGATCCAACATGGGAAGCGAGATACTCAGCAGACTCATAGAATGGCAGATGTCCTAAACAGCCCTCTGGCCTCAGAATCAGCCCTAAAGGCATTCGGATCTGGCTGAAAAGCCCATGAGAGTATTTCAGGCATGGAAAGCCAAGACACTCTGGCAAAAAAAAAAAAAAAAAAAAAAAAAAAAAAAAAAAAAAAACACCTAAATGAAAGATCTCTGTGAGTGAGATCCCAGTAGAAAGAACAGGTCTTCAAAGAAGGAGGTACCTTTCTCTGAAGGGAGGAGAGAACCTCCACTTTGACTATGACCTTGTCTAAACAAGATAAGAGTCGTCGAACTCAAAAGGCTTCCATAGCCTTGGAAACTCATGACTGGAGCCTAGGGAGATTACTGATGCCATAGACAGGATTGTCAATTTGTAAAGTCAACAACAGGAGTCACTGTGCATTTACTCCTCATGTAGGATCTCTGTCCTTAATGTGCTGTACATTGAGATTTAATGCTATAACAAGTACTCAAACAGTATATTTCACTTTGTGTTTCTATGGGGGTGCAAACTGTTGAAATCTTTACTTAATGTATACTAAACTGATCTTCTGTAAAAAAAAAAAAAAAAGAAGAAATTAGCAATTCCCAACTTGACTCTCACTGGGATTAAACATGACAATAGGTCTGATCTGATTTCATCATCATTTAAAAAATCATCTATTATTTTTCACTTTATGTTTCTGTGTGGGAGCAAACTGTTGAAATCTTTATTTAATGTATGCTAAACTGATCTTCTGTATATAAAGAGAATCGAAAATGAATCTTGATGTGAATGGAAGGGGAGAGGGAGTGGGAAAGGGGAGGGTTGCGGGTGGGAGGGACGTTATGGGGGGGAAGCCATTGTAATCCATAAGCCGTACTTTGGAAATTTATATTCATTAAATAAAAGTTAAAAATAAAAACAAAGGTTCCAGGTATAGCAAATGGGGAAGTTTAATATGTGTTAGCCATGATTATTTATCGTTATTATTAATCTTCACAAGAGTCAAAGAGAGTCATACTATCACGTCCATTTTATAGATGAGAAAACTGACTCTGAGAATCATCAGGAAACAGCCCATTACTAAGTGAAAGGACTATTTTTTCACCAAAATCATCCCTTTCAATACCTCTTCTGGGAAACTGGTCATATCCCTGTGAATTTAGAGTCTCTTTTAAATGGACTCACTTGTCTTTCTTTACTTAACTAAATATGTTGTTAGAGAAAAATGTGACTGCACTATCTCGAATGAGAATCCATTATCACCTGTCACAATAGAAAGGTGAAATAAAGACAATACAAGCACAAAAAAGTCATTAGATTCTAATTAGATACCATTACCTGTGAGCCCTGAGTTTTTTTCCCATCTCCCTATTAAAGAGGGAGATTAGCAAATAGCAGAGAGAGGTGCTAATGGCTACTAACACTGCATATGACTTTCCGAGTGGAGACTGGCAGTGCGCTCCCTAGCAGGCAACCTTCTTGGTGGGTATTTCCTGTCCCTCTGCGGCCCCCACACCCTCCCCAGCTGCCTCCCCACCCTCCGCACAGCTGTGCAGGAGCTGGGAAAAGTCGCGAGAGGATCCAGCAGTTGCTACCTCTGCAAAGAGCATCAGTGGGTGCACCCGAGGCGGGGTGGGGGGCCTCTGGACACCCTGCCCGGTGTAGTGGAGAGGTAACAGGTACAGCAGGTGCATCCTGCCGGGGAGATGAGGTGGGCACTCAGAGAAATTGACCAGCCCCAAGTTTGTTCCCCACACACAACAGCCAAGCCCATAATCCCTCTGAAGTCTTCCCAGAGGAGCCCAGGAACTCCATGGCAGCCAGAGGAAGCGGGTGAGAAAGGACACTAGGCAAGGAGGAGACCACCCAACCCACCAGGAGCCGAATCTGGCTTCCATGTCTGCCACTCCCAGCTGTCAGTCTTTCAGGTTGCTTGGCCTTTTTGAGACTCAGTTTCCTCATCTGTGAAACGGGGTCACAAAACCCTCCTTCACATCTCTTCACTGAGTTGCAAGGACTGGGTGACAGGTACCCCAGAGAAAGCCAGGCCCTGAGAAGGGGGTCAGCCAGTGTCAATCCCCTCCCCTGGCACCAGCCCAAGGAGCAGACCCCTCACCCCGAAGCGATCGCTCAGCCTGGCAGCTGCATGCCCCACCCCCACCACCGCAGATCTGTCAGCTGCTGCACGCTGAGGCCACTTGCAGTGTGAAAGGAGCTGTCACTCTTTCTGACACGCGTCACATCCCCCTGGGTTCCCGAGCTGACCCCG